TTTGTTTCTATCAAAAATCTTGCAAGCCATGCCAGTGAAGCCACGACCACTGCGATCGGTCCGGAATCAGTTCGAACACCCCATGATTCCTTGCAATGAATAATGCTCTTATTCTCTTACATGAAATGTTTTCTTTGAAATATTAAATGTGAAACCTAGACGAGTACTGTAAGCTCATCTTTAATTCTGTCCGTCGACTCCGTCCGTTGTTTTGAAAATGTTTGAGCACTGGGGCGATGTTTTGATTTGTTTGTTGATAAACACAAGCGCGCCTTCTCATTGGTTGAAAAATGTCGCGTGACCAGCTGGCCCTGTCCTTAAATTTAGGGATATTCCGGACTGGTAAAACAGCCCGACTTTTTACCTTGGTTAAGAACGCGCGCGCAAGCGGTTAATCGAAAGGTGGGAAGGTGAAAAAGGGCGAGTGATACTGGGCCTACGAGCGTGTGAGGCTCCCGCGCCTCGCGCGAAAATCTCAAGCCTGCCCTTTGGGCCTTTGTATTATCGATTATGAGGGAAAAAACCGACTGTTTTGCAGCTTACATACGAAGTAGTCCTTCACAAAGTAAAAAAAAGAAAAAATACACCATAAAAGCGTGTATAACAACTAATTCTAAGAATCTAATGAGTCACCCCAAGCTTAAATCTCTGAGTCACCCTAAGCTTCTGTACGTTTTTAAGCCAAATGATTGTGACAAAAATGACTTTTTTTACTCCCATGCAAATGAAACTTATTATCGCAAAAAGGATTTGCACTTAGCCTTGCTTGGAAAGTGAGGGTTAACGTTTTTGGAACTCGGAAATTGCCTGTTGATAACGCATATTTTATCTTGATAAAAAACATCAATTACGAAAAGATAAATTAGCTAAATACAGTAAAACCCGCGACTAAGAACCTGCATTACTAGGTTCTCATTTTCTGAAGAAAAATACATTGTATTTATTTTCAGCAGTATAGAGGAGGCCTAACGGGTAAACTTTAGCCTTACATGCTCTTAAAAACCGAGTTCTTGGTGGCGGGGTTTTACTGTAGTTTATGTAATGTTCAAAACACGCGCTGTGAGTGATTTGAACAGCTTCAAAAACGTCCCCTTAGTATTTTATTTCAATAGGATCCTTGATAATGCATTGAAATTGGAAAAAGCTGTAAAAATAACAAAGGCTACATTGGTCAAATACTATGCAAATAGATTAAACAACCCAAGTACACAGCCCCAAGGGAGGGGGAGGGGTGGCTACTCTACAAAGTTTTATACAGGGAGGGTCCGCCACGAGGTCCAACCCTTTACCAGCTTTTATATACCATTTTTGACAGAAAAGGTACCCCCTACAGGGAAATGATAAGCCTTTCACATACCTAATAATTTAACTGTTGTAAATGCACTATCCTTTAAATATGAAATACTAGCTAAACTATGCCTGAAGCCTGAAAATGGTACCCCGGAGTCCCCCCCCCGGCTACACAGTTTTTAAACGCATCTATCTGCCTTCGCAATACGGCTCTCCAAGTGAAAAAAAATTTCAGCAGTTTGATGATAATCGTAGAGGAGGAAAAAATTGCTTGAGGAAAGTGTCATTTCCATTGCACAATTCCCCAAGTTCATTAGACAATAAGCATGCCTACTGATCAAAATATTAAAGAGTTAATATTTAATGGGTTTTTTAATTGGTTAAAGGAGCTAGTACGAGGATATTGCTGTTTTAGGTCCATCTTTGCTCCGGTAGACTAATGAAGAAGATATAATAGTAATAACAATAATAATAATAACTTTTTTGGGATAGCATTGAAACTTGAAAATGTTGGCTCAACTTTCGCAAGTCAATCCATATTCATCCTTGCCAACCCTTTGCAGCAACAACAGGAAACGTTTTCAGCGCTTAAATGGCATGTAATGTGAAAAAGTTAAAACAAGACTGGACCATTGTTTTTCAAAATCAATTGATATGAAGATACTGTTTATCTATTTTAAAACGATATCAGCAAATAACGTGAGGTAGCCCCTTGAAATGAGTAACAGCTTATAGCGGAGCTCCTTGCGCGCGCGAAGCGCGCGCAAGCGGAGCACCATGACTAAGATAAACTAGCCATCCGAGAAATTTTGGTTATGACGTCAGCGTACGTCCGTCCGTACGGACTTTCCGGGTAGTGGAAAGTAGTCCGCATGGACTCTTCGGGTAGGGGAAAGTAGAGATTTTTTGGCGGGAAATCGCATGGCGCAACGTCGCGCAATTATATCGCGCAACTGGTTTTGAAAAAAGAAATTTCAAAGCAACTTAGCAAAAAGATTTTTCGACAGAGCCTTTATAACTTTTTATTACAACTTACGAAAGCTATTATGTCAACAAACAACAGCAGAGAGATTTTAGCGTGTAGATGACAGGTTTTAAGCGGAGAGCAAAGAGAAGGTGAACGGCAGAGAGCAAGAGTCAACACGCGTAGAACAAGCGAAGACGATCGCCAAAGAGAACGCGTTAGAAGTAGAAGAAGAAGACAACATTTTAGCGAAGAAAGTCGCAAGTAGAAAGAGTCAGAGCGAGAAGAAGGAGAGAAAATTATAGTGAAAAACGCCGGCAAGCAGAACGAGACAGGGCAAGAATGGACAGACAAAGGCAACGCGAAAGAGAAATACGAAGGCAAAGAGAACGGCAGCAACATAATGACATGATGACAGAAAGTGTTGTGTTAATGTCACTATGGCCCCGTGTTATTAACATTTTGATTTCAAACTGGCCTCGGACGCGAAAATTCAGCCAATCATTTAAAAATACAAGCAGGGAAGACAGAGGCTTTTCACTTTTCTCACCATAGTCACGCGTTGATCACGCTCTACGAACGTCCAATTTTTATGCTCTGATTGGTCAAAATTTGACAGGTGGAGTTCATGCAGAAAATTTATACAGCATCTTGAACCTTGTTTACTTTGATAGCTGAAGCTGACAGAGTATTTTGTCAACTTGTGGTGCTTTTTACTGTATTTTCCCACTGGATGCTTAAAATGAAATACAGCTGCTATCAACAGTCTTCTTTGATTCATGGCTGGCTTGTTTATTGAATTTTTGGTTGGGAAATGCCCCGGTTGTCAAAGTTGGAAATCCGATTTCGGATGCATTGTTTTCGTTTTTCACCTTGCTGGATGCGGGGTTGAAAAGTCCCTCAAGCGACTCTGGCCTTACTTGCATGATAGCTTTCAAGAGCTGCATCTCGAATGGTAAGCCTGAGTAATTATTGTATACAGTGTATGTTTGTTTTTTTATATCTAATTTCATGAAGTCGAGCGCAGTTTATGAGGCTAATTTATGCACGTTTGTATTAAGATCTGAGACAATGATCTGATCTAGTATATATAAGCTTACAGAGATTTAAAAAGCCTTTAGTCGATATTTTCTCTCCGCATATAAAATGAAAAAACGTTCCGAAGAGTATTTAGTTATAATTTTGGCTGTAGAAAGAAAGCTTTGAGCGATTTTCTTGCCTCGAGTCCCGGGCCTCGAGTTCATCTCTGAAAACGATAAACACCAGGAAGCCGGCTAAAAGCTTTAGGCTTATTAAGCGTAAAGACTCAGGATTTTTAGAGACGCTTTAATACCTTTCTTCGTGAATGAAAATTGATGTTTCTGTAAATTTTTCACTGAATTACATTTCTTTTATTGATTGTTAGTAGTATCTTGCAATTTTAATCGCTTTGCTGTTTGTTTTCAGTCGTTCATAGACAACGCTTGCGGGAGTACTCAAAATGCCGCGCGTTTGCACATCGTTATAAAACCATTAAATAAAAATAATAAACAATAAATTCTGTATTATGTTCAAGCGTAACTCTTTCAATGTTCACTGAAAATTTGGCGCTTGTCAAAAGTGACAAACGGCTGGCCGTATAGGTGATTTTGGAAATTTTTTGAACGGTTTTGCTAAAAGCCCACTCGTGCTTCGTACGGTTCTGAATATTGAATGAGTGCAATTTGTCTTGAAAAATTGTGAAATACTGCATTTTGTCTGAGGTCTGTATGATAAAAACAGCGCCTCATATTACTGTTTCACCTCAGATGTGATGCATAAAAAGTATGAAATGTTGGTTTACACGCTCCCAGAGTTGTTGGCAAGATTTTGTTAAGTAAACTTGTCGAACGCAAAAAATTCGGCCTGATTTGTTTTTTCCATGAATTCGTTTTCCAGGCCTAATCTACTGTGATCAAGAGCTATTATGGCTCTTAAATGTGATCGACGATGATTGCTATTTTTTGGGTGTATATATACCGGCTATCAATTCGATGAAGGATTTATTTTCACTCTAAAATCATTTAGCCTTAGCTTTCCCTAAAAAGTCCCATATGTGCCCTTAAGTTAACTGATTTGTGGATTACAAGTTTATTGTTTGATTTAAATCATAAATTTATTAATGGGAGCTTCGCTTTTAGCCCTGGCTAAATCTATATATTATATATATGTATTTACAGTCTTTTTAGAGCGATTTTCGTATGACCTTGAAATGAACACACGAGAACAAAACAGAACAACAAACGAAGGAAATAGAGCGATTTGATTGGTTTATCTAACGGATACAAACGGGAATGGCTTTTGGTTGGTTAAGGAAACGTTCGGGTGAAATTAAAACCTTCATGCCCGAGAACTTTCCAGAAATCAATTGATACTTCGCTTTGACATCATACTGCAACACCATTGGCCAATCGAACAATGCCGTCTGCATATTAGCCTAAAGTTTTCTTTAGCAGGAAAACGAAGAGTCCATGTTTTGATCTTTGATAAAACAAATAACGAACACTTAGCCGAAACCATTTTTCGAGGTCATAGGAAAATTGCTCTATCGATCTAAAGTTAGTGATAACACTATGCATTGAAGTACTATTTTCAAGAGATTTTGTTTCATGCAACAAAACTGCAATAGTTGACATAGTTGACCGGTCATCATTTGAGCTTACAATAAAGTGTTAGACAAGGTAAACTAACGAGCGTGAAGAGGAATAGCAGCATTTTGTCTTTGTCGACGTTTAAATAATTTTAGGAGAGCTCTTCTGAACTCTGGCATTCTGATTGTGTAAATAATGGGATTAACAAGCGAGTTTGTGAGGAATAGAAAAGAAAAAGATGATCTCAAGCGAAACTGTGTCCGTAAAGAAAGTCTATCTACAACAGAATAAGGAACAAAAGTATATACAACATATGGTAACCACAGCAGCAAAGATACAGTGGTCATTATGAATAATGTGACAGTCAGTTTTCTTTGTCTATTGGCTGCACCATGGGACGGAGGACGCGTTTCACACCGAAATTTTAAAGCAATGGAGGTGTAGGAAACACAGATAGCAACAAGGCAAAGGAAACCATATGACATCCATAAGTACGAAGGAAAAAGCACTTGCCACTGTTGATGCCAGTTCCCATAGAGACGTATTAACGGAAAGGGAATTACTGTCATCGCAGTTAAAATCCAGACGCCCGCAATTGTTACCCTGTAGGCCCATTTTTTAATGTTGCGATGCCTGAATGGACGAAACGTCGCATGCATCCGATCTAAAGAAATTACTGCAATGCTTGTTACAGAGGTGAGGGGGAGCCACGCCGCGGTCGTGCAAAGCACAACCATAATAGGTGACAATTCCAGCCGGATGAAAAGTACATGTTCAATTTCGCAACCGTGGAGGAGGACACGAAATACTATAAAGACAGTGGCATTTCCTCCAACAAACATATCAGCCACGGACAAGTTTATAACCAAGTACATGGCACGAGTGCGAAGATTACTGTTCTTTACAAAAAGAATAATTGATAGGAGGTTCACTGCAACCACAGCAGCAGTTATTGTAAGGAATACACCATACCATGTGCTGCACTCGGTTGAAGAGATCGCCATGGAGCTCATTGTTTTCTTTTTAATTCTCTTTTCTCCTCCCTTCAAAAAGAAACCCGAATAAAGTTTGGTTAGTTGAAAAAGGAAGTTAGGAGGTGAACCTTGGAGGTGAACTAAGAGGGTTGACGTCGGCTCCTCAAATATCAAGAATGGAGATTGTATACGCTGACAAAAATTGTTCGATTGAGAGCTTACCTTAACATTAATTTCTTGACAGTTTTGTTAACGCTGAAATAAACCCCTTGCCTTCACCTGTGGAAAACAAAAAAATCAAAAGCAGAGGGGAGAGTTCGTTGAGTTGCTTGACTGGAAACTGAGGGCAAAAAATACATGTGAATTTTAGCTGTTATTGTTGGCGCTCATTGAAGTGCGAGTCAGTAAGAAGTAATTATTCACCTGGTAGAATTTTTTTTTGTCACTGGGAAGGGTGGAGTACTCAAGAAAGGTTTATAAGGGACGTAGGCTCAAGGCCTTTTCCCTTTTGTATATCATTTACAACAGAAAAGGTACCCCTATCACATACCTAGCAAAATCAAGGTTTAAACTTTATCTTAGCTTCTTTTGTATACGAACTCCGACAACAAACTTCGCTGCCACAACCCTTCTGCCCATTACCAGGATTTGAGATTACTAACCTAACGGTAGGCCTGTTTTTTCAGACCTACCCAAAGTGTATACAAGATACCTTTTTATTATCATTAAATTTCGCCAAAGCTTTCGCAAAAAATGATTGCTGAGTTAAAATTGTTGTCAGTGTGTACTTCCTCTTTAAAGGGGCTGTGTCACGGCAGTCCAGTTCATTTTGTTTAATTTTGCCAATTACTTGCCTTCAATCGCTATTGAACTTTAAGTAAGCAAAGAAATTATAGGTAAATGACAAAATCAGAGATCTGAGACAAACAAATATGTCTCCTGAGCATTATTTTTGAAGTTGCAAGCAGCAGGGATCAACTGTAAAAAACTGTTAGGCTGAACAGTTTTCAAAAACCCTAATTTCAATCCGTTTCAATCTTCTTCAGTTTGGCCTATCCGTGGTATCTGTTGTTTCTGTTATGTTATTTAAACCTTCCTTTAAAGTTTTAGGCGGTAATTTTTTTTATGTTTCTCTTAATTTAACGGACGTTTTGTAATTTCCTAATTTGGCTAAATTTCGTGACACAGCTCCTTTAATAACTCCAGTAGAACGAACAAGATCGTTTATTGCAGTTTCTCTGCCTGTGAGGTCGAGGGGAACTAGGTAAGGGATGAACGCGCTTTCCCTTCATCGCTGGTATCGCCATTATTTACGCTCTTACTTTCTCACGCGACTGCTACCCATTCATACTAACAGCTGCTTTCTGTTCGCTTCTTGTAATCATTTAAGGGCTTTTAACCACAGTTATTATTTAAGTTTTCCGTATAAAGGGTAGGGCCTTTGAAGCAAAGAAAACATCTGTTTTTCAAAACATGTTGTAACATCCTTTGTTTTTTTGACCCATTGCAAATGTTTGGGTTGTTACTTGTTATTTTCTTACCAGCCTATCCTTTGCTATTTCTGTTAATGAACTTTCAAAGGTTCAACGATCCAAGTTGTATTTCAGAACCTAGAAAAAGGAAGATATTTTTAAAATTTCTAGTTACAAAAGAACCCAAAACTCAGGAGTGGATCTACGGGGAGGGGGCAGGGGTGCGCTCCCTCCCCTGAGGTGACCTGTGGCTTCATAAAACAACTGATTTTCTGGGGGGGATTTGTGTTTTATTGGTATTGAAGTAAAACATGAGACGAGGTTGAAAAATTTCTGTCAAAAGCCTTAAAAATGGAATGTGGGCTTTAGTGGTCCCCTCCTAGGAAAAATTCCTGGATCCGCTGCTGAAACTATAGCTTTTTAAAATCTTGTTACTACAAGGTATTGCGAATCTAAGCTTCGGGCGTAAAAAAAGACAATTTCAGCAATATTTAACTGTGCGGCGATGACTACTAGCAAGATGAAAAAACCTCGCGATGCGAGGACTTGCTGTTCACTGGGAAACTGTCAAATGGTTTAAAAGGCTTATTATTGTTTTTTTTTTTCGCACAATGACTCCTAACACAGCGCTTAACTTTCCAGCAAATACTGAGCTGATTGGCTGTCTTGAAGGAAGAGAGCTGAAAAATGTTTGCTCAAGTAAGCAATGGATTCAATACCTGGACTGACGTTAAGGCCAGTGATCAAAGTCCCAAAATAATTGTAGAATTATCTTCACAAGTGCCCAGTGGACGAATTTTCGACCGGTTGAAGTTCACGCGTTTTGGTGTTCTGTTTACACGAAACCATCTTAACTGTACAAAGGAAGTGGAAGTTGTCAGAAACTTCTAAATGTTTTTGTTTCAGAACAAAGGGAAGTTTCAATCTGCTAAAGATTTAGGAAATTTCGGACGATTCTCTATTCAGCTTCCAACCTCCATCAAGCGGCTACTTCGCGTTGCCCCAAGGGTATAGCCGCTTAATGAAGGCTCATTGTCAAACTGTGCTTGATATTGGCTTACAGTGAATTGTCGTTACCAAACTGAAGAGTTGGAGCTTCATTGTCAAACTGTGCTTGCATATTAGCTTACTTTGAATTTTAAACCCGGAATTTTGCGCGTTTAATAAAGGAATACATCACAAAAGTGTTAAAGTTAATGCTTGCTCCCTTTTTAAGCGACACAATGATTAATTCATCTAGAATACAACAGGCTTTTTGCGCTATAATACAGAATGAACGTGAATGAACGTGTATAATGAGTATGGTCTTACACAACTCGAAAACCTCATTTAAATAGTGACAAAACTAACGTATTAATATTCGAGATAATTGCAGCTTCCTTCTGTTTTTCGTTTTAGCAAAATAGATATAAATTATTAACTGCTTTTCAATTAACAAATAAAGAAGCCGAGACTGTGCTTTGTGCAGTTGTGACTGAAGTACGCGGAGCAGCTAGAGCATGAAAGAAGTGTAAGGGTAAACACGAGACGTAGTCGGTCTAACAGAGCTCAGTCAAGACTTCTTTTTTTGTTTTTGATAAGGAATCCTTTAAATTCCCCACGCACGCTTTTTCAACCAATCAGAGAGCGCGCTATAGAAAAAAAGCCTGACCCTGGGTTAACGCTAATCGACCTTCGAAAAACTGGGCCGAGAAGCCTAAATATTAAAGGTATTCTCCTTTGGCGGAGCCTCCCCCTTTAGCCTATCGTAGGGAGCACCCTTCCCCCCGGGGATTTTTCAACCACCATTAAACTCGAATAAGCCGTCAACACGCTCATTGTGCCAATTAAAGTCCCCCAATTTCCAAGTTATCCAAGCTCGAAAAATATTTTTGAATGAATATTTATTAGCCAATCAAGGAATATTTCAACTTCATCTAAACTTCTTTTGTATGCGAACTCCGATAACGAATTTTACTGTTACAACCCTTCTGCCCATTACCGGGATTTAAAGTTATTAAGCAAACAGTAGGCTTGTTAGACTACCGAAAATTGCAGAAAGATATTGTCACTGAGTTACACGCGACTGCTAACCACTCACTGCTAACAGCTGCTTTCTGTTCACTTCCCGTTACCGTTTATTGGCTTTTAACCACAATTATATTTTATTATTTTCCCGTTTAAGGGTAAGGACTTTGAAGCAAACAAAACATATAATTTTCAAAAAATGTGGTCAGTATCCTTTGTCGTGTTGTTCTATTGCAAATGTTTGGGTTGTTACTTGCTATTTTCTTACTTATCCTTTGATGAACTTTTAGAGCCTCAACATTCTATGTTATAATTCAGAACCAAAAAAAATGAAAATAGTTTTTAAATTTCTAGCTACAAAAGAACACATAATATTAAAACTGTAGCTTCTAAAAACCTCTTTCTGCAAGGTACGGCGAATCTAAGCTTCTCTTTAAAAGAAAGACAAAATTCATGGAGACGTTTAACTGTGATGGCGATGACTATTAGCAAGATGACTTCGCGATCATGCGAGGACTTTGCTGTTCATTGGGAAATGTTTAATTGTTTTAAAGGCTTATGGTTGTTTTTTCACACTACAACTTCTAATACAGCGCTTACCTTTGCAACAATATTGAACTGGTTCAAGCTGTCTTGGATAAAGAGAGCTGAAAAATTTGCTCAAGTTTGCAACGGATTCATTCCCTGGACTGACTGACGTCAAGGCTTTGTTTAACGTAAAACAGCAAGCGTGAACGTGACGTTTAATTTACAGTTCTGACAGTTAGAGAATGATAGTCTATTAATTAGCCTTTCAAGTAAAGTTTAACAAGATAAGAGATAAATAGATAGATCGATAAATTACCAATAGTTTGTAGCCAGAAGACTGATTCGCGTATTTACAATTGATGCAATTGATAAAATGTGTATTAAAACTAAGTACAGTAAAAATAAAAGTATAAAGCATATGATAGAAAGACTAAAAATCTACGTATATATACTAGTAATAACCAAAGGTTACGGGGTGCGGGCGACAACGATCGGAGGTCCAAACGCTTTTGCTCCAATGCTGTGCTCTGCGTAAGTTTCAAGTGACAGATGTTCAAAACACGCGTGATCAGATTACAAGGAGTAGAAGAAAGAAACGTGCGTGATCAAATTGCGTTAGGTACATTCTTTTTTCCTTATGAGTGCTAGCTACACACATGCGACGCATGCGTAATTACAACCTGGCGATTAGGATTGCGGGTTCCTCTTGTCGCCCACAATTATCAATACAGGATCTATCGATAAAACTAATCCTAAATCCAGACACCCGCAATTGTTACTCCGTAGGCCCATCTTTTGATGTTGCGATGCCTAAATGGACAAAACGTCGCATGCATACGATCTAAAGAAATAACTGCTTTCAGCAATGCCTGCTACAGAGGTGAGAGGGAGCCACATGCTGATCATGGCAAGCACAATAAAAGGTTCTCATTCCTGATTAGCAATAATAGAGCCGATTGGGAATAATTCATTTCCAACTTCGCAACCGTAAAGAAGGGAATGTAATACTATATCGAAAGTGCCCATTCCTCCAACAAACATATCAGCCACGGTCAAGTTTATTACCAAGTACATGGCACGAGTGCGAAGAGTACTGTTCTTTACAAAAAGAATAATTGACATAGGGTTCACTGCAATCACAACAACAGTTATAGTAAGGAATACAGCATACCATGTGCTGCACTCGGCTGAAGAGATCATCCTGGAGATCATTGTTTTCTTTTAATTCTCTTTTCTCTTCCCTTCGATTCAGAAAGAAATCGAATAAAGTTTGGTTAGTTGAAAATAGGAAGTTAGGAGATGATTTAAGAGTGTTGACGTCGACTCCTTAAATGTCCAGAATGGAGATTGCAACCAGCAACCTTTGCGGGTCAATAACCCAATTTTTGATGAACTGTTTTTGTATTTCCGTAGTATACATACTGTACTTGTAGGACCTTTCTGTATGTACGAACTGATCGACAATATTTGTTACCGTCTTTCTCGATAAATTAAACTGGTGTACTACTTGGAATGGTTTCGAACCCTCTAACCATTTGTCTACAGTAAATCATTTCACAGGCCTCACACGGTAACCCTTGCCTTGTTTAGTAAAAGGATTTGGGTTCATTATGTTGCAGTTTCCTGGTTTTAAAAAAAGATATGAAGTTATGAAGTTCAGTAGTACCAAAGTTGACAAATACGTCTCAAAGTTTGCAATTTGATTCCCTAACTTGCAATTGTATTGGCTACTTCGTAGTACCCAATTTGCCAACGAACTTTGCAACGTGGTGCAGTAAAGGCATGTGAAATCAACTGTAATTACACCTACATGTCCGTATCGCATTTGCTATGAAACTTGAGAAATTACTTATCAATGACAGCTTTGTGTCAACAAACATGTCTCCCAAGCATTATATCAAACATTGAAGACCACAAAAAGGAAATCTGAAAAACTGTTAGGCTAACAAGTTTCAAAGGGCCCAATTTCCATCCTTTTCAATTTTTTTAAGTCTGTCCACCTGTTACCTAATAACACCAAAAGCAATTTTTATTTGTACTCACTCTTGCTCTTTGCTTTATTACTTAAACCTTCTTTTCATGTTTTGAGCAGTGTTTTTATGTTTTACCGAGATTGGGGGTGGTTTACACTGCTGTAGTTTTGACAAATTTTGTGACACTGCTCCTTTAAGTTGCTAAGTACTAGTTATTAATCAGTGGTTAAAAAAATAATTGAGATTTGGTACCAGGGCAGCTCACCTCGTCTTGCAATCTGTATTCTCCATCACAGTGTTCACTCTTGGATGCCCTTAGCACAATCAAACACTCAAAATTTTCAAATTATTTTTGCCCATCACGAGGTTTTTGTCTCACATTCTGCTCAACTGTGTCACAAAAGGGTCGCTTTATGAGAGAAGCGATCGATTACTGAAGGCCAATGAGTCGACAAGTGTACATAACAACCCCTAGATATCTTGTGGTGCAATCGAAAAGCAAAAATATACAAACTCCACGCTCCTAGAACCTACAAAAGCTGGCAAATCGGAAGCTGTTGCAATCACTTTTAAAATGGACGCCAAAAAGAACGACCGCAATGAGCATGAGCAAAAGAAACGTCCGCTGACCAGCACTTCGCTCTGTTTTAGGCCCCATTCTCCCCATTCTCTCTTGTTTTCTCAGTCTAAGATCATTTTATTTTTACGCCAGTACTGATTGAGATCATTCTGGCAAATATCAACAGCCGTTGGTATTCTCTGCGATTTTAATCACTTAGAATCGAAAACAGTCGTAACTTCGCGCACTTCACAGTCGTTGCATCAATGCAACGCGCGCGAGTATTAAATGCATGAGAACCGTTTAATGGCCCTATCTCGAGAGTAAATTTACTTTTATTCACCTTGATTGTACGCAAAGGCAAAATTTCTGAAACATTTATCGTGCGGTCTTGGACATGAGTTTTTAAAAAAACGTCACCGGAAACATAACGGAACCAAGAAGGAACGGAAATGTGATAACAGAAATGTGGCGGAAACATGATCGTTCGTTTCCGACTCGGAAACCTAAGGGAAACGCGTCCCGTCCATGGAAAACTAGATCACGATGTTTCCGCAGGGAGTAAACTTGACAGATTTAAGCAACTTCACGTTTCCGTCAAGTTTACTAAAGAAGGAAACACGTTATTTCGTCTTAAATAACAACACGGGGAAAATCATGTTCAAATAGTAAATTTATTGAATTCTCTTAAACTGGTTAACTTTACTGACTTAGAAACAAATAACAAGCCTAGTATAAAGCAGAAGTTAAGGTGTACTGAACTTGGCTTCATTGGCTTCTTTTTACATACTGTTATATTTTATCAATGACCACATGCGTATTAAACTGTAAAACATCCCTACTTTTTGCCTTCGTTCAGAACGCGCGCGCGAGCGGTTAATCGAAAGGTGATACTGGGCGTACGAGAGTGTGAGGCTACCGCGCTTCGCGCGAAATTCTCAAGCCTGCCCTTTGGGCCTTTGTATTATCGATTATGAGGGGAAAACCGACTGTTTTGCAGCTTACATACGAAGTAGTACTTCACAAAGTAAAAAAAGAAAAAATACACTATAAAACCGTGTATAACAACTAATTCGAAAAATCTTAATGTATAATATTAATAGGCTATCTCTGAGTCACCCCAAGCTTCTGTACGTTTTTAAGCGAAATGATTGTGACAAAAACAACAAAACAAAGTTTTATACGGGAAGGGTCCGCTCCGTGGACCAACCCTTTACCAGCTTTTATATACCATTTTTGATAGAAAAGGTACCCCTTACTGGGAAATAATATGCCTTTCACATACCGAATAAACGCTGCATCCCTTTAACTGTTGTAAATCACTATTCTTTAAATATGAAATACTAGCTAAACAATACCTGAAGCCTGAAAATGGTACCCCGTGTAGTGCATTGTACGGAGTACCGCCCGGGTTACAAAGTTTTTAAAAGCGTCTATCTGCCTTCGCAATACCGCTCTCCAAATGAAAGAAATTTCAGCAGTTTGATGATAATCGTACAGGAGGAAAAAAAATTGCTCGAGGAAAGTGTTATTTCCATTGGACAATTTCTCAAGTTCATTAGACAATAAGCATGCCCACTGAATATTAACGAGTTAATATTTAATGGGGTTTTTTAATTGGTTAAAGGAGCTAGTACGAGGATATTGCTGTTTTAGGTCCATCTTTGCTCCCGTAGAGTTATGAAGAAGATATAATAGTAATAATAATAATAATAATAATAATGATAATGACAATTTTTTTGGATAGCATTAAAACTTGAAAACGTTAGCTCAACTTTTTCAAGTCAATCCATATTCATCCTTGCCAATCCTTTGCAACAACAACAGGAAACGTTTTCAGCGCTTAAATGTCATGAAATGTAAAAAAGTTAAACAAAACTGGACCATTGTTTTTCGAAATCAATTGATGAGAAGAGACTGTTTATCCATTTTAAAAAGATATTAGCAAATAGCGTGAGGTAGCCCCTTGAAATGAGTAACACCTTCTGTATACGTATTTACAGTCTTTTTAGAGCGATTTTCGTATGACCTTGAAATGAAAACACGCGAACAAAACAGAACATCAAACGAAAGGAAATAGAGCGATTTGAATGGTTTATCGAACGGATACAAACGGGAATGGCTTTTGGTCGGTTAAGCAAGCGTTAGGGTGAAATTAAAACCTTCATGCCCGAGAACTTTCCAGAAATCAATTGATACTTCGCTTTGACATCATACTGCAACACGATTGGCCAATCGAACAATGCATATTAGGGTTTTCTTAAGCGGGAAAACGAAGAGTCCATGTTTTGATCTTTGATAAAACAAATAACGAACACTTAGCCGAAAACATTTTTCGAAGTCATAGGAAAACTGCTTTATCCATCTAAAGTTAGTAATAAAACTATGCATTGAACTACTATTTTCAAGAGATTTTGTTTCATGCAACAAAACAGCAATAGTTGACATAGTTGACTGGTCATCATTTGAACTTACAATAAAGTATTAAACAAGGTAAATTAACGGGCTTGAAGAGGAATAGCAGCATTTTGTCTTTGTAGACGTTTCAATAATATCAGGAGAGCTCTTCTGAACTCTGGCATTCTGATTGTGTAAATAATGGGATTAACAAGCGAGTTTGTGCGGTATAGAAGAAAAAAAGATAATCTCAAGCGTAAATATGTCAGGAAAGCAATCTTATCTAGAACAAAAAAAGAAATGAAAGAATATAAAACAAATGGTAACCACAGCAGCAAAGATACAATGGTCATTATGAATAATGTCACAGTCAGTTTTCTTTGTCTATTGGCCGCACCATGTGACGGAGGACGAGTTCCACACCAAAATTTTAAAGCAATGGAGGTGTAAGAAACACAGATAACAATAAGGCAAAGGAAACAATATGACCGCCATAAGTAGAAAGGAAATAGCAATTGCCACTGTTGATGCAAGTTCCCATAGAGACTTATTAACGGCAAGGGAATTAGTATCATCGCAGTTAAAATCCAGACGCCCGCAATTGTTACCCCGTAGGCCCATTTTTTGATGTTGCGATGCCTGAATGGACGAAACGTCGCATGCATCCGCTCTAAAGAAATTACTGCAATACCTGCTAAAGAGGTAAGAGGGAGCCACGCCTCGGTCGTGGAAAGCACAACCATAATAGGTGGCAATTCCTGCCAGGGCCATGATATATTTCCAGCTTTGCAACCGTAGAGGAGGAAATGAAATACTACAAAGAAAGTGGCAATTCCTCCAACAAACATATCAACCACAGTCAAGTTTATAACCAAGTACATGGCACGAGTCCGAAGATTACTGTTCTTTACAAAAAGAATAATTGATAGGAGGTTCACTGCAACAACAGCAACAGCTGTAGTAAGGGACACCGCATACCATGTGCTGCACTCGGCTGAAGAGAGCGTTATGGAGCTCATTGTTTTCTTTTAATTCTCTTTTCTCCTCCTTTCAGAAAGAAATCGAGTAAAATTTGGTTAGTTGAAAAAAGGAAGTTAATTAGAAGGTGGACTAAGAGGACTGAAGTCCACTCCTTAAATATCAAGAATGGAGGTTGTACATTGACAACAATTCTTCAATTAAATGCTCACCTTAACTTCAATTTCTTGATGCTTTTGTTAACGCTGAAATAAATCCCTTGGTTTCACCTGTGGAAAGAAAAAATCAAAAACAGCGGTTACGTGGAGAGTACGATGAATAGGTTGACTGAAAACTGAGGACAAAATATTATATGTGAATTTTAGTTGTTATTGTTGGCCCTCACTGAAATGCAAGTCACTTAGAAGCTATGGATCACCTGGTAGAAAGTTTATTTCATTGGGAAGGGGGGGGGGGGGATACTCAAGAAAGGTTTATACGGGAAGGCTCCGCCCCGAGGTCCAGCCCCTTACCCTTTTTGCATACCATTTAATTATAACAGATAAAGTACCCCTATCACATACCTAGTTTGGAACTTTGCATACATTTTAACTGCTGTTCTGATCCAATGTCCTTTAAACTATGAATAAATCACGAAACAAGAACGTTTTTTTTACTTTGTCACAGTCATAAAATACATTTGCTAACCCTTCGGGCCTTTTTTTACAGACCGAAATGATAAATTTCCTTACCCTTTCATATACTTCAGGTAGTAAATCCCCCACTCTTTTATATAGCTGAAGCCTAAATAAGATAATCCTTTTGGGTGGAGCCTCTCCGTATAGGCTATTGGAGGGAGTATCCCCCCCCCCCCGGTTACGTTTCAAGAATGCTTCCTCCATTAAACTTGAAGTCATTAAAAAATATTCACAAAGAGACTGTATCGTATCGCGCACTAATTGTGCCAATAAAAGTCAATCAACTTCCAAGTTATCGTACCTCGAAAATATCTTTAAATGAATATTTAAAGAGCCAATGATTGAAGAAACTTCATCTAAGCTTCTTTGGTATACGAAGTCCGATAAAGAAGTTCGCTACGTATACTACAACCCTTCTGCCCACTGCAACGAGCAACGATTAACCAAGTTATTAACCGAACGGTAGGCCTGTTTTTCAGACCTCCCATAGTGTAAACAAGATACAACTTCTTTATTTAATTTTGCCAAACCTTTCAGAAAAAATTGTCGCTAAGATAAACTTGTCAATATGAACTTCCTTTTTGATGACTCCAGTACGTAGAACAAACAAAATTTTTTATTACAGCCTCTCAGCCTGTGCCGGGAACTAGGTAAGGGATGTGCGCGCTTTCCTGTTCATCGCGGGTATCGCCATTATTTACGCCCTAACTGTCTCAGGCGAGTGCTACCTGTACTACCCATTCTTGCAAACAGCTGCTTTCTGTTAGCTTCCTGTAACCGTTTATAGGTTTGTAACCACAATTATTTTTTTATATGTCAGTTTCCCGTTAAAGAATAGGGACTTTGAAGCAAGCGAAACATATATCTTTCAAAACGTGTGGTCAACATCCTTTGATGTTTTGTTCCATTGCATATGTTTGGGTTGTTACTTGGTATTTTCTTACTTATCCTTTATTGAATTTAAACGCTCAACGATCTAGTATTATTGAAAACCTAAAAAGATGAAGATGTTTTTCAAATTTCTAGTTACAAAAGAACACACAAAATAAAATTTTGAACTGCTAAGCGTCTTAAAACCTCTTTCTGCAAGGTATGGCGATTAAAACCGGCTGTACATTGTATCTTCTTAAAATCCTCTCTTTTGCAAGGTATGGCGAATTAAAGCTTCTCTTTAAAAGAAGGACAAAATTCAGCGAGGTTTAACTGTGCGGCGGTGACGGTGACTATTAGTAAGATGACTTCGTAATCATGAGAGGAGAGGAATTGTTTTAAAGGCTCATCGTTGTTTTTTTCTCACAACAACTTAGCGCTTACCTTTCCAACAAATACTGACTAGGGAGCTGCTTGGTTGTCTTGAAGGATATCTTAAAGGAAGAAAAGAGCTGAAAATTTTTTGCTCAAGTTCGCAACGGATTCATTCCCTGGACTGACGTCAAGGGTTTCTTTGTTCAACGTAAACGTTTTGAATCATTTCCGTGAAAACAGTTCAAATCAAGTGTCGTATTTACTCCCATTAAATGGTGTCCTTTCTTCAATTTCGCACCCTTTTAATAGCAAGAGTCCACGTGACGCTTGAGTTAATGTTCTAAACAGTTCTGACAGTTGCAGCTGTAATAGTCTATTAATAAGCCCTACATTTTTTTAGTTAAGTTTAACATCATGATTAAGCGGCCACCAATTAAGCAGCCAGTAATGAAAGTCCCAAAATAATTATAGAATTATGTTCACAACGTGCGTCGGACGATTTTTCGACCAGTTGAAATTTACGCGTTTAGGTTTTCTGTTCACACGGAACTACCTTAACCGTACAAAGAAATCAGACGTCTAGCAGTTCAAAGTCCCGTATGAACGAAATGTCCGGTCAACTTTTTTAGGCGCTCGAAAATTCGTCCGGTAGAATGTGGCCTCGATCCTCTGCAGGCATCACTCTCCTGTATTAATGGGGAGAGAGAGGGGAGTAGCAATTCCTCACTTTCTTTCCTTCTTTTCTCGTTCGCAGACTTCTTTTATTAGCCGGTAGAAGTACCCAGCTCAAATTAAATAAGCCTTTTAATTTTCCCTTCAATTTTATTTAAAGACAACCAGTGAGAAAAAGCCGTATTTGAGAAATGTAAAAACTTTTTACATTTCCCCGCTGAGCGGGCAAAAGCTCACAGCAGAGAAAGGAAATTTGCTTGCGGACCACCAAACACCGTTTCTAACTTTTTCAAGTCAAGTTTGATAGTGAAGCAAGTTGTCTTGTTATTTTCAGGTATAAATGTACAATGACCCAAGGTACATTTTCAGTCAGGTCTTTGAAAAAGCGAACTGCAACGCTTTTAAAAATGTTATGTTAAACCGATAATTGTTAACTAGTAGAATACAACTGGGAAGCAAACTCTCCTGGTTAATGGTAGAACCTTCTCTAATCCTTTTCACGAGGAAACACTTGTCTTCCCCAAAGCTTAATAAAACTTAGAAATATATTATCTTTGAAATACTGACCTTTTTTTAGGATGAAACAAGTTTAAGTGTCTGTGTAGTGTTAATGATATGGATAGGGAATGCTGCAAATCGCCTCTGAAATAAACATTAACGCTGTTCCCAAAGAAAAATAGAAGCTGCTTATATGTGAAAAAAAAAAAAGAAAAAAAAAAAAGTAACATCAGGGGTTATGGAGTTTTTGTTTAGTCTGACGTGGGTGGATGAAGGATTGAAAAAATGTGACATTTGAAAACAAAATTCATCACCCAAGAAAGTACAGGTATATGTTTTATTCATTTGATTTAGAATATATCTTGGTAAGGTTTATTATCTACAGGTACATTGTTGCTTTGGATCTCTAAAACACCGAATACAATAATAGTGCTAATCAAGCCCATCTTAGGTTGGAAAAACAATGTGATTCAGATAGACCGTTTCAGAGAAGAACACTAACCAACTTAAACAGATGACTCTGTAGCTAACACAAGCATTGACCCTCAAACACAGTTAATTTGTCCCACTCACAAAGAAGTAATAAATACACTTCAGAAGTGACAAATAAAGCTTCTGATCATAAATAATTTAGATGCCACCTTCTGGCTCTCATGCATGACAAAAGCAACTTTGTTGCTGTTTGATACAGAAAGATTGATTGATTTGTGCCCTCATCGACTATACAGATTCCCCATGTTTTGAAGTAAAGGATGAAAAGGACTTGCTCTCGGAGAAAACAGTTAGATGGTACAAAACCGGTTGAGGCAAAAGACAGAGTAAATGATTATAAAACTTGTGAGAGCGAAGAATGACTCCAGCGCCCGATAATTTTATGCACCAAACGGGAAGCCTAACTAAATAAAAACTATACGAAAACTTACATGTACACAGTTACAAAACACCTATAAAAAAGGCACAGCCTAATTTTCTACAAACTTCTGGAAAACCGGAAATAATTTTAACTCTTTTTATCACGGTTTTGACAATCAGCTCTTTTCTGCTTTTATTGACAAGTTCAGCGAGTGTCGAATTTTATAAGTTAACAACATTTGACAAAATGATTTTATTAGACGGTAGAAGTACCCAGCTCAAATTAAATTGGCGTTTAATTTTCCCTTCAATTTCATTTTCGGACAACCAAATGTGTTAGCCTATCATTTTAGCATTAAATTTGACCAACATTTTGTGGAGCAATTTCCACGGTCAAGATTGCCTTCAAACTTGCAGACATGAAACTAGAGAGCTCTGAGGCTTATTTGCTGAAGTTAGGGAAAAATCTGTCGTGGGATTTCGAAGTTATTTTCATTTTTCGTAAAAATGATGTTACAAATATATGCCGATATCTCAAACGTTTTTAT